CGCCCCTCACCGCGCCCGGCTCCCACAGGCTCTCCTTCGACAAGGACGCCATGGTGGCCCGAGCCCGGCGCCTCATCGAGCTCTACAAGGACGCTGGGGTCAGCAAGGACCGGATTCTCATCAAGCTGTCGTCCACCTGGGAAGGAATTCAGGCTGGAAAGTAAGTGTCCCCACCCCAGGGGGCGGCCGTGGCCCAGCTGACGGAGCCGGGTGTGTCTAGGGCCAGGTCCCAAGGTCCTGCTTGGTGACCCTCAGAAACAGGTGCCCCGTGAGACCCCACGGGCGTGTCGCCCGCCGTCCTCCTCAGGCTCGAACAGCCGTGCCCAGGAGCCTGGTGTCCGCTGCAGCCTCGCCCTGCGACGGCTCCCCACTCCGCTGCCTGCTCTGGACGCCTCACAGGGTGGCCTCTCCCGTGGCCTGTTTCCCGGGCTCACCCTGTGGCCGTCAGGGCTGCATCCCGTCAAGTCGAATGTTCCGTTGTGTGCGCGCTGCCTCTTCTGTGTCCGTTTCATCCTGCGTGGACACGTGGCTGTGTGGCCCTGTGTCCTCTCTCCTGGGCACATACTCAGTCATCTGGTCGGTCCCTGTGCCCGTTGGAGGAATGGCACTGCTGCTCGTTGTGGGTGTGGGCTCGTCACCACCCCCATGTGGCCACACGGTGGAGCCCTTCTAATCTGTCCCCTGTGGTGGGAATTTGTGGCCAGAGGGGCCTGAGCAGAGGTCCAGCTGTCACTGCCCTGGCCCCACCCACATGGCAGAGCGTGGCCGTTGCCCTGTCCTCAGGACTCAGCCCCAGAATGTCACGGTGGACGGACGGGCTGCCGCAGGGTCGGCTGGGAAGGGTGAGAGGGCAGGAGGCCGTGGCTCCAGGTGAGACGCAGGCAGAGGACAGCTGGGGTCCAGCCCCAGGCCGTTCTGGCTGAGGTGAGGGCCGGGCCCCGTGCTGGCGCAGGTGCTGGCTGGGCACCTCCCTTGCCTCTGTCCCTGTTTGTAACTGGGTTTGGGGAGGAAATGAACCGGGTCGGCTGCAGCCCGCCAGCCAGAGCCCGGGCTGAGTCGTGTGCGTCCGCACAGGGAGCTGGAGGAGCGGCACGGCATCCACTGCAACATGACGCTGCTCTTCTCCTTCGCCCAGGCCGTGGCCTGCGCCGAGGCGGGCGTGACGCTCATCTCCCCCTTCGTGGGGCGCATCCTCGACTGGCACGTGGCCAACACGGACAAGAAGTCCTACGAGCCCCAGGAGGACCCTGGTGAGTGGCCCTTGGAGGCCCCGGGGCAGGTGGGAGGTGGGCAGGGCGGCGGGCGCAGTGGTGACCGCTGGGCATTCCTCCAGGAGTGAATGCGACGGCTGCCCACTCCGCTGCCTGTTCTGGACGCCTCACAGGGTGGGCTCAGGACACGTGGCCTCTCCCGTGGCCTGTTTCCAGGGCTCACCCTGTGGCCGTCAGGGCTGCGTCCCTTCAAGTCAAATGTTCGGTTATGTGTGCGCTGCCTCTTCTGTGTCCGTTTCATCCTGCGTGGACACGTGGCTGTGTGGCCCTGTGTCCTCTCTCCTGGGCACATACTCAGTCATCTGGTCGGTCCCTGTGCCCGTTGGAGGAATGGCACTGCTGCTCGTTGTGGGTGTGGGCTCGTCACCACCCCCATGTGGCCACACGGTGGAGCCCTTCTAATCTGTCCCCTGTGGTGGGAATTTGTGGCCAGAGGGGCCTGAGCAGAGGTCCAGCTGTCACTGCCCTGGCCCCACCCACATGGCAGAGCGTGGCCGTTGCCCTGTCCTCAGGACTCAGCCCCAGAATGTCACGGTGGACGGACGGGCTGCCGCAGGGTCGGCTGGGAAGGGTGAGAGGGCAGGAGGCCGTGGCTCCAGGTGAGACGCAGGCAGAGGACAGCTGGTGTCCAGCCCCAGGCCGTTCTGGCTGAGGTGAGGGCCGGGCCCGGTGCTGGCGCAGGTGCTGGCTGGGCACCTCCCTTGCCTCTGTCCCTGTTTGTAACTGGGTTTGGGGAGGAAATGAACCGGGTCGGCTGCAGCCCGCCAGCCAGAGCCCGGGCTGAGTCGTGTGCGTCCGCACAGGGAGCTGGAGGAGCGGCACGGCATCCACTGCAACATGACGCTGCTCTTCTCCTTCGCCCAGGCCGTGGCCTGCGCCGAGGCGGGCGTGACGCTCATCTCCCCCTTCGTGGGGCGCATCCTCGACTGGCACGTGGCCAACACGGACAAGAAGTCCTACGAGCCCCAGGAGGACCCTGGTGAGTGGCCCTTGGAGGCCCCGGGGCAGGTGGGAGGTGGGCAGGGCGGCGGGCGCAGTGGTGACCGCTGGGCATTCCTCCAGGAGTGAAGAGCGTCACCAAGATCTACAACTACTACAAGAAGTTTGGCTACAAGACCATCGTCATGGGCGCCTCCTTCCGCAACACGGGCGAGATCAAGGCGCTGGCAGGCTGTGACTTCCTCACCATCTCGCCCAAGCTCCTGGGGGAGCTGCTCAAGGACAGCAGCAAGCTGGTGCCCACGCTGTCGGCCAAGGCGGGTGAGGCCCAGCCCCTGCTGGGGCTGCCTGCACCTCGGCTCCCTGAGGGGTGGGGGAC